TTTAGAGAGGGACATCATGCTGGGTAGAGTAGAGGGACAGCGCAGGAAGGGAAGACCTTCTACGAGGTGGATTGATTCAGTGACTGGGGTACTCGGGATGGATGTGTCAGAGGCAATGAGATTGGCACAGGATCGAGCACAGTTTAGCGCTGTTGTACATAGGGTCGCTATGAGTCGCAAACGACTCGACGGCACATAACAACAACAACAAAAAGTATGTGTATACGATACATCTCAGAAAAAAACAATTTCTTTCTGTCTCAGAATCTGTTATGGATATGGTTTCGGAAACAAGAGGGATCAACTAATCTTGAGACTCTAGTAAAAATGATTTTTGCTTATAAAACTTCTCTAATGAAAGCTATGAGGACTGCAGGTTGAGAGCTTTTCTCTCTCCTTATGTCTTGATTAAAGAAAGGCTTGAGGAGTTCATTCTGTTGCCTGACACTTTCCTGTTGGTCAGAGAAATTCCACCTTCATAAATCCAAGCTTTTTCTTTACCTGAAACTAAACCCGAACCCACTGCCAGTTGTTGATTGTGACTCCTAAGATGTAAGTAAATACTATTTTCTTAATGGTCAAGGCAGGAAAAAGAAAACAAATTATAGTCACATCAGTGGAGTCGGTTCTTACTCGTAGCGACCCTACAGGCCACAGGAGAACTGCCCCGTGGAGTTTCCCAGGCTGTACATTTGAACAGAAGCAGACCGCTTCATGTTTCTTTTATGGAGTGGCTGATGGGTTCAGACTGTTGACACTGAGGTTAACTGCCAAGCACTTTCACCACTATGCTGTCAGGTTCTTTGGAGAAACAAGAGAAAAGCAAATAACTGAACAGACAATGTCAAGAGTTTTATATTTCATTTTATCTTCCTTCTCGCTTTGTACTTTCCTACTATAGCTTTGTCAAAGCTGTCTTTAAAAATTGAATTTGTATTTAATTTCCTAGTATGTATAACATTTAGAGTTGTTTTGTACCGCTGAGTTGAAACTGACTCATCGCTGACCCTCCAGAGGATTTCCGGAGGCAGTTTAACATGTGAGGACATGGCCTATCTTTCTCCCACCAAGCAGCTGGTGGGTTCAAACTGCTTGCCTTTGGGATGGCAGCACATCTCCTTAACAGGAGGCCACCAGAGATTCTAAAAAATTTATAGAGTGCTCATAAATTCAAAGTGTTTTTCTCTAACCTTATAATTCAGTACAGGTAGGATGTTTAAGGGTTGTTTTTTTTTTTTTTTTTAAATACTAAGAAGAAAAGACCTACTGATTGTTAATAGAAACCTGGTGTTCATGTAATACTAGTACATGAGGCAGACATTCTCTTAATACTATGATGATATTGCTTTTATTTTAGTGTCAAGATTGGGTGCATGTATGGAGAGACTTCAGAAGCGAACATTAGATCCAGGTTGAAGATCTTAAGTTTTGGTTTCCTGATAGAAACTTTTTAACTGAACTTTAACATTCTGGGGTTCATTAGTTTGACAATACTTACTGAAGCATGGATGTTACAAAATGTGCCCACACTGTATAAGTAGTATGATGTATTAAATTCTTCTTGTCTAGGAATGCTAGGTTAGGGATTAGAACATTAAAGATGGGGCATGTTAAAGCCAGAACCATTGTAATGTGGTGGAGATGGAAAGCTCAAATATTTTTCACAAAACAAATGGGAAGACTGTATTCTGTGAAAGGCAGAAAATTTGTAAGACTCAGAAAACCAAGATAGACCTTTCCAACTTCTGGATCTTACAGAGTCTCTCACGGTACATGTTTTAATGTGGTGCTGTCACCTGTATTTTAACATAGCTAACTGCTGTGAGAACTTACAGGATTTAATTGGTGCTTATTTTCCGTCAGTGTATATTTCACCTTTGTTGGTCATTTGTGAGGCCTGATTTTTAACAATGCTTTCTCGCTCTTTTTGGGAAGCATATGCTTGCAAAGCAAGGATGAACTAATGAATGGCCAACAATCTTTTCTTTTCAGAGCCTTTTCTCCTCCTCTAGTTGCTGTTAAACCCCATAGCTGACCCTTTGTTGGGCTTCCAAGGCTGTAAATCACATGGGAGATGACTTCTCATCTTTCTCCCAAAATCCCTGGTGGATTTGAACTGCCAGTGAAGTTCTGATTTTGGGTGACTGGCATTACTCTCTATGGACTAGCCCATCAGAGCGCTGTGTCAAAGCCCCATCATGCAGAAGCCAAAAGTCTCCACACTGTCATTTCAGAGATCTCGGAACTGTTTTGAAGGAATTAAGTAGCATTTGGAATCCCGAGGTCACGGAACTGGAATTGGCATACAGGCCCGTTGACCCTAGTTCACTCTAGCAAACTGCACATTTAGCCATAGGGTGCTTTTATTTCGAGTGACAATTGTAAACTTCAAACTTCCCATTGTAGGGTGATTCTGGCTTAATACCTCGGATCTGTGAAGGGCTCTTCAGTCAGATAAATGAAACCACCAGATGGGATGAAGCTTCTTTTCGGACTGAAGTCAGGTAGGACCTGTGGCCATGTGATGCATCCAAGGCTGTTATTTAGCTTCATTTTAGGCACTAGAACCTGGATAAGATCTTTAACTTTCTAAAGATTCTGCTTTTATCCTTTTGTGTCTCTGTGGAAGTTAGTAATCAAGGCTAAAACATTTATATTTTCAGTGACTTTTGGGGCATAGAAGTATCTCAACTTGCTCAGTAACTCCAATATGGTATGCTTATATGAAATAGAATGAGCTTTTGTCTTTTAAGTATATCAAATATGTTTATTTTGTTATTTGAGCTGAATTAGAGCTGTATCATTTCTTATGCTGCTGCTGGTGGTGTTTTGTACTGTTGAGTTGGGACTGATCCATAGCTGACCTTCTCATAGATTTTCAAAGGCAGGAAATACCACAGGAGGAGGAGATTGTCCATCCTTTTCCCATGAAGCAGCTAGTGGATTTAAACCATGTAGAATTAATAAAATTAATTGATAGCTTGCATAGCTCTGGTGACTTTTTCCCTCCTTGAAATTCCATGTAGGTAAGGTTTGGCCACCATGGCCAAGTAGGGTTTACATGTTTGTTTTACCCTATTTGGATTGTATAGCCTTGGACGTATTATTTAAATCACCCTGAATCCCTGCTACCTAACCTGTAACCTATAAACTGAGGGTTATAGTTATAACCTAGAATGTACAAGCCTCTGCCTCCCCTTGGTTTAAATTGTAGGGTTTAAATGAGGTAATTAGCACAGTATGCATACGTAGTACCACATATACAGAAAGTCTATTCTATTTTTAATGTTGTTGCTAGTGGTACGTGAAAATTTTTTTTTCTGAATTAAATTATTTTTAAAATTTTAGCTACTTAGAAATTTATAATGAACATGTAAGAGATCTTCTGAGACGGAAGTCATCCAAAACCTTCAATTTAAGAGTCCGTGAGCATCCCAAAGAAGGGCCTTATGTTGAGGGTAAGTGTGGATATTTCTTAACACCATACTAGTTAGAAACTTATGTGAAAATAAGGCTTTTAAGAGGAAAAAAATGTAACACAGTGTAAGATTGGAAAATGAATTTTTAGTCTTTCATTATATTAAAAAACAGTATAAGCAGTCACTACATAGTATTCATCTAATGAATACAGAATTCCCTGGTGGTCATTGATTTCTCAGGGTTTGCCCGTAGGTTTTCTCTGACTTTAAGAACTCTGTGAACTTGTTTCTAGTATTGTCAGACAAGATACATGAGCCTTCCTCCTGTTTTTTAAATGGAATTGCATTTTCAGATTTATCCAGACATTTGGTTCAGAATTATGGTGATGTGGAAGAGCTGATGAATGCAGGAAATATCAATCGGACAACAGCAGTGACTGGGATGAATGATGTCAGCAGCCGGTCCCATGCCATCTTCACCATCAAGTTTACTCAGGTGAGGACAGCTGGACTATGCCTGGGTTTGTGCAAGTTGATGAGCACTGGTGAAGGGCTGATAGTTGTTGAACAAAAGGTAGCAGAGGAGACTGGCCGTCTTTCTGCTGGTGGTGTTAAAGTTGGATTTGGGCCCTGTGCTGAGGTTCTCTGAGTTTACACTCATAATAATCTGAAATGTCTTGATTTGTACCCTTGGGAAATTTTTAGTAGGCTTAAAACTATTCTAGACATCAATAAATGTGTTCTGTGTTTAAATTAAGCTACAGTTTTCATTGTTGCAAACTCTATGGGAAATGATAGATTTCAGTGAGACTGCTGGAGGCCAAGGTTAGTAACTCAACGTGTCACTTCTTCACTTCATGGGGCTCAGCACAAAATGGTGATTACAATTATTAAAATGATATTAAAAGAGAGTGAACATTTTTAAGTGCTAATACAGGAATTCATTATAATCAAGAAGTGGAGAGTATGATGAATGTGTGTGGAGATTGCTGAGGGGAAGGAAGTAGAACTGGTAAAGGCAAAGAAAGAAATTTAGAATCTGTTCAGAGCTTACACATATGCAGTCTTAATCTGTGTCATTGATTAAACATGTGAAATACATGTCACCTCCTGGCAAAAAAAGTAGTGTTTTATTGGCAAGAGGAATCAGAGAGCAAAGTAAATGGAAGATTCTCTGTGTGTCACTCAGAAGAGTGCCTGTTAAACTCTGTGTCTCTTTGTTTTTGATTTACTGCAGTTTGACTAGTTTTTCTTCTTCTTAGTTATAAATGCCTATATCTTAAGAGGTTTACATTTGTATCTGAATTTTGTATTTCTGTTTGGCATTTTAGGCCAGACTGTAATATGTAAGTTAAAAGCCCTGGGGAAAGTAAAATTTTGATATAATTCAGAAGTAAAGATTATAGTACTCAAGATGATGTTGTTGTTATGTGCCACTGAATCGCTTGTGATTCATAGTGACCCTATGTACAAGAGCCCTAAACCCTGCTCTATCCTGTGCCAACCTCATTTTCTCCAACACACCTAACCCCATTACCCCAATCACTGAATCGATCCATCTCATTGAGGGTCTTCTTCTCCTGCACTGTCGCTCCACTCTCCCAAACATGATATCCCTCTTCAAGGACTGGTCCATCTTTGCAACATGCCCAAAGTATGTCACACAAAGCTTCGGAATTCATACCTCCAAGGAGCAGCCCGGCTTCACCCTCTCCAGGACAAACTTGTTTGTACTCCTAGCAGTCCATGGTATATTCAACACTCTTCTCCAGCACCACAGCTCAAAGGCATCAGTTCTCTTTCTGTCATCCCTAGTCACTGTCTAGCTCTCCAATGCATAGCATGCAATAGCAAAGACTAAAGCCTGGATCAGGTGCACCTTAGTCTCCATCCTGATGTCATTGCTCTTCAGCACTCTTGAGAGGTCCCTGACAGCTGACTTTCCCATGCAGTTCATCTCTTGATTTCCTGGCTGCTGGTGCCAAGAGTGTTGACTGTGGAGCCAAGTAAATTAAAACTTGTTAACGATCTCAGTCTCTTTACCATCCATACTGATGCTGCCAATTGGCCTAGTGGTGAGAATCTTTGTTTTCTGGATGTTGAGCTTGAATCCATATTGAAGGCTGCAGTCCTTGACTTTCTGCAGCAAGCACTTCAAGTCCTCTTCAGTTTCAGCAAGTAGGTTGTGTCATCTGCATAATGCAGGTTGTTGATGAATCTTCCACCAATCCTGATGCCACATTCCTCCTCGTATGGCTCAGTGTCCTGGATGATCTGTTCTGCCTACAGATTGAAAAAGTATGGAGATAGGACACATCTTTGACAGACCCCCTTCCCATTTTTGAACCATGCAGTGTATCCTTGCTCTGTTCTGATGACTGCCTCTTGGTTCAAGTATAGGTTTCGCATAAGCATAATGACATTTTCTGGGATTCTTGTTCTTCTCAGAGTCAGCCACAGTTTGTTGTGATCCACACAGTCAGAAGCCTTTGCACAGTCAATAAAGCACAGAGAGACATTGCTCTGTTACTCTGCTTTCTACCAAGATCCGTCTAACATTAGCTATAATACCCCTAGTACAATGACCTCTTCTGAAGCCAGCCTGCACATCTGGCAGTTTTCTGTTGATGTGTTGCTCCAGTCATTTTAGGATAATTTTCAGTAGAATCTTGATTACATGTGATATTAATGATACTGTTCTATAATTTCCGCACTCTGTCAGGTCACCTTTTTTGGAATGGGATATAGACTTTATTTTTTTAATTTTATTCATTTTAATGAACATTTACAGAGATTTTGGATTTCCATTCAGACTTTTAAAACAATTTGTGAGACACAGTGTGTTACCATTGAATCAGAGTCGACAGATCTCTTGGCTGATTGTCGCTGTTTGTCATCCCTTGCCTACACTGGGTGTGGGGTGCTGTCTGGCAGCAGGACTGATAGCTTTCTTACACTGTTCTTTATGGAGTGCCCCTCAGTGCCAACTGTCTGTTCTGTGTTCTGCCACAGCCAGACACAGTTAGCTTTTGTTGAAAATGACTGATTTGCATGATAGAGCAGTTCTTCTGAGTCACAGGTAGACTGCTGAAGTAGTGAATTTAAGTTTGAAAGTTTTGTAATCAGTATAAGGGATGATGAAACAGGGACATGAAAAACAAACAAGAAAAGCTATCTCGAGAGGTCCCAGTGAGGAGGAGAAAATAATTAAAATTTGCATCATAAGCAACATCAGAACCTTTGTAACCTTTAATTTTGCTTTTATATTTTACCACAGGCCAAATTTGATTCTGAAATGCCGTGTGAAACTGTGAGTAAGATTCACTTAGTCGATCTTGCTGGAAGTGAGCGAGCCGATGCCACAGGTGCCACTGGAGTTCGACTAAAGGAAGGGGGTAACATTAACAAATCCCTCGTGACTCTTGGAAACGTCATTTCTGCCTTAGGTGGGTGTATACTGTCTGCTCCCTCTTTTTATTCCAAGTGGTACTGTATTGTGAAGTTTAATGCTTGTATAATAAGTGGAGATTATATCCTCAGGATTTCTAGAACCAGTGTTAAAGGGGTAAACCCCCCCAATTTTAATAATTGTCTCCTCCTCCCTTATTTTTCTTCCTTCCTATAGCTGACTTATCTCAGGATGCAGCAAATCCTCTTGTAAAGAAGAAACAAGTCTTTGTGCCTTATAGAGATTCCGTGTTAACTTGGTTGTTGAAGGATAGCCTTGGAGGAAACTCTAAAACAATCATGATTGCCAGTAAGAATTTTGACTTTTTTTATCAACATTTGGTGCTTTGTGTGAATTACCTGTATATATTTACATCAAAAGGGCTCACTAGGCTTAGCTTAAATAAATAAAAAAAATAATAATACTGGTTTTCACTCTTGAAAAAAACCCACCTGATATAGAGCAGACTGTAGTGTGTTGTTAACTGCCTTCCCCCCCTCCTTTCCTATCCCAATTCTTGTATTCTTGGTTATGGAAACTGTAATAGCATGTACAGTGTTCCTTGGTTTCCTTTGCTGAAAGTACAAGATAACTTCCCTCCACCCAAAAATTGACTGCCATTGAATTGATTCCCACTTATATCAGCCCTCCATCAGATTTCCGAGGCTGTGAATCTTTACAAGAGGAGACTTCCCATCTTTTTCCTGAGGAGTACATTTAAACTGTCGACCTTGTGGTTATCATGCATGAAGCCCTTTGGGCTCCATAGAACTACAAGATAGAAGCTTTTAAATGGGTCAACACATGATGCATTTGAGTTCGCTCTAACTTAGGACAATCTTATGTACAACAGGAAATAGTGTCTAGTCTTGTACTATTTCCATGGTGTTTGCTATGTTTGAGACCATTACTGTAACTCATTATAGCGATTCAAAGTAAAAACAACACCCTTTTTTCTCTGTTTAAAGCAGTAAATTAGTTTGTTAATTCCAAACTAAACAAACAAAAAAATAAGGCTCAAAGTAGTTCTGAAAAGAGCAGCATACTGAAAACTTGCAAAAAAAGGAGATAAGTTTTGAGGAGAACTCAGAAAGTACTTTCTGTCCTAATCCCCTCCTCTCTTTCTCTTCTGTTCTCCTTGTACTGTTTTTTCCTCTGCCTTGTACCATCCCCATGCATTAACTATGGAAGTGAAGGAACTACCCTGGGATAAACACTCTGATGCAATTGTATAAGCACCTAAATCTTTAAGTTTTGTATAGAAATGAGGGATAGTATTAACTAAAACTGTAGAGAGGAAGCGAATTAATTAATAAACTGATGCATCAAAAATTACCATTCTTATATAATAGAGCAAACAGGGAGAAAAATCAAGAAAACTTCCTAACCCACAGTCAGACAGCTTGAGAGAATGAGTCACTGTGTCTTAGAGCCCAGGACCATAGCCTTGGAGGACATCCAGGTCAATGAACATAGAGCAAAATCCACAAAGAACATAGTCTATAAAGACACTGTTCTTCATCCTACTTCATAGCTGTGAATAGCAACTGTGATCTTAAAAACTTGAAAGTGGACATCCAAGGTCCACTTATTGGACTCATCTCTTTTGTAGCAAAGAGTGAAGAAAGTCAAAGACTACTTTAAAAGACTGATGGACAACGTGAACTTCTGTCTCCATGACGCTGAGGCCAGAAGAACCAGGTGGTGTTCTGCTGTCCCTATTGACTTCTCTAAAAGGGATCATAAAAGACCCCTGACAGAGAGGGGGGGGGGAAGGGAACAAAAGTAGAAATTATTAAAAAAACCAAAAAGCACAATAAACTTACTGGTCAGATAAAGATTTTAAGAGACTCTGAGACTGTGCCATCAAGCCTGGAGCTGAGCTCACCCCTGGGACTCAGTTTCTGGTCGAACAAGATGATCAGTATTCTAGGATTCTAAGATGATCCATAATACCAGGGAGAACTACACTCCTTAGAACAAGCTACCATACAGGATCAAAAAGGCAGCATTTATACAGGGATTAAGTAAAGACAGCAGGAAGGATAGGAAAGAATGATGACTGCAAGTGGGAGACAGAGGAAAAGTGCTTTTAGAGTGTGGGGATTATAGTTAGTGTCATGAAATATGCCATGCATGTATGAATTATTGATTAGAAACCAATGTGCTCTGTAAACTTTTAATCAAATCACAATAAAAATGTTATATATGTTATATATATTGTTTGTTGTGTACCATCAGATTGGAACCAACACATAGCTGACCATCTGGCGGGTTTTCAGAGGCACTTAACCACATGGAAGGAGATTGCCTATCCTTCTCCCATGGAGCAGCTGGTGAATTCGAACTGTGCTTCTTTGGGATTGCTGTGCAGCTTCTTGTCACTAGGCTTTTTCTCCTTTGGGTGTTTACAAAGACAGTAGACTTTGTCAGACACTGAAGAAATGTTTGAATGCACTGGTGGCATAGTGTGTAGAATGTATAGGTCGTCTAACTGTAAAGTCAGAGGTGTGAACCAGCCAACTGCTCTGTGGGAGAAAGATCAATGGGAACCCCCATCAAGGGTGTTATGATTTTAGATTGTTGAGAACAGTGGTTTTGTGAGGGGTTTTGTATTTGTTTTGGCTTCTTTATTTGCTTTAGTTTTGGTAAGTACAAACGGTGTTGAAATCTTTATATTTAACAAAAAGCATGCTCTTTACTATAGTGAGGTGTCTGATGCATCATTCTAGAATTGCTTAGATGGCTCATTCTAGAAGATTTAAGAAAAGCAAAATGATATAGTGACCACTCTTTCCTCTAAATCTTGGAAAACTTTTTGTATTTATTACGATAGCAATAAAAATTTAGTCTGTCCTTTTAAATGACAAACCAGCTTTTGTTAAATGAAACACAGAAGCTAGATAAATTAATCTTTGAATACATTCTTCACAGCCATTTCACCTGCTGATATTAGTTACGGAGAAACCCTAAGTACACTTCGCTATGCAAATAGAGCCAAAAACATCATCAACAAGCCTACCATTAATGAGGACGCCAATGTCAAACTCATCCGGGAGCTCCGAGCTGAAATAGTCAGACTGAAAATGTTACTTGCTCAAGGCAATCAGGTTGTGTGTTTTATTTTTTTTTTTCCCTCCTGAGATTTGTGGATAATATTTAGAGTAACAGCATCTATTTCTACATTATAATGAAGCAGTTTTTTCACTTATAGTATTAATTTGAGTAATTAATAAACAAATGTAAACAGAAGTACACTAGATACCAAGTAAGTGCTAAGTAGAGCTTGCATGTGCTAGCAGTCTCTCCTTGATGTCTGCGCCTCACTGGCCAGTGCATTTCTTTCTTTTTTTTTTAATTTAATTTAGTTTATTTTTCATTTCAATGAACATCTACAGAGATTTTGGAATTCCGTTCATTCATTGTTGCACCCTTCTCCCCGCACATCCCCCTCTCCCCTCCCCCCGCTACATTTCTTATGTACTGTGGTGTAAGAGTTTATCCATTAAACTTAGAATGATTAATTATCTAATACTTATCAATTATGGATGGAGTTTTAGCTTGTAAGGAAATTAGTAGCATAATCTCCATTACTGGAAATACATTGAGGTGCTCTAAGTAATATTTAAAATTCTCCTCATGCATTTGAGGACTTGAAAATGTGTTTTAACAGAGTGAAAGATTTGTTTGAACATCTTCCTAAATTTCCATTTCATTATAGAAGTGATTATGGCAATTTAGTGGCAAGTTAGGTATTATACCTCTTGAGATTCAAGAGAAGCAGCCTTTCCTTTTTATGCTTTACGTAGTGAACTTATTTATAAGCTGTGTAGTTCAATTCTTTGATGAGTGTTGCTGTTATGTTCTGTTGTGTAAAGTTGGAACCGATCTATTGCTGACCCTCCAGTGGGTTTTCAGAGACAGTAAATCACACAGGATAAGATTGCCCATTCTTCTCTCAAGGAACAGCTGGTGGATTTGAACCATGTGCCTTTGAGTTGGTTTCGTAACTCCTGATCAATAAGCTGCCACCACTATTCATATAGAACCTGTGAGCAACAGGTGTGAGCTTTACCCTCTCCTGCAATAGCCTCGTGATCCCCCATATGCTTGATCTCATTGGTGCGGTCACTGGGCCAGGTCATCTGTTTGAGGGACTTCCTCTCACTGATTCCGTACCTTTCCCTTGGAACAATGTCTTTTTTCTTAGACGTGGTGACTCCTAACAACATGCCTAACGTACGTGAGACCAAGTTTCACCATCCTTATCTCTAAGGAGCACTGTAGTTGGACTTAGCACAGGATAGATTTGTTTTATTCTTTTGGCAGTCCATGGGATAGTTGGTATACTTTGCCAGCTACAACTCAAAGGCATCAGTTCTTCTGTCATCCTTCGTTATTTTCCAAGTTTCATATTTTTATACAAAGGAATTGAAACATATTATGACTTAAATATTTTTTATAATTTTTAAAAATTTTATTAATTTTAATGAATGTTTACAGAGATTTTGGATTTCCATTCATTCATTGTTGCATTTTTCTCCCTGTCCACCTCTCGCCCTAATTCTCTCATCTCTTTGAAAAGTAAAAGAAAAATTCTTTCATTGGTATACAATTCACCCCCCTACCTCCCCCACCCCTGCACTGAGTACACTCCACTATGTAACCTTCATTCTGGACTCTTGTCATGACCATAATACCCAATCATATATCCCTTTTAAACAGTTCTCTCCCTCATCTTTTTCAATGCAGTTACATAATTCCTCCAATTTTTCTCAGTCTCACCCCAACCCTGATATAAGTCCCATTCTACAACAGTGGCACTATGCAGTATTTGACCTTTTGTGACTTAGATATTTCACTCAGCATAATGTCTTCCAAGGTCATACATTTTGTATAATATTTCATGAGTTCCTTGTTTTTCAATGCAGTGTAATATTCCATTGTGTGACTGTACCAGCACTTCTCTATCCATTCATTTGTTGATGGGCACTTGGGTTGTTTGCAACTCTTTGCTGTTGTGAACAAGTAGCAATAAACATGGGTGTGCATTATGACTTACCTCTAATACGATTTTTTAAACTGGCATCAATACTCTTTAGCACTTTGGAGAGGTCCTTGACAACAGATTTCCCCCCAAACACAACATCTTTTGATCTTTCTACTGCTGCTTATATATGGCTGTTGATTGTGGATCCAAGTAAAATGAAATAAATGACATTCTCCATCATTCTTTTCTCCATCTATCATAATGTTGCTGTTTGAGCCATTGGTAAGGAGTTTTGTTTTCTTGTTGTTCACATGTTACCTATATTGAAGGCTATAGTGTTTAATCTTCTGCAGCAAGTACTTTGAGTCCTCTTCTCATTCAGCACATGTGCTTAATGCAGGTGTTTGATGAATTTTCCTCCAATCTAGATGCCACACTTTTCTTCATATAATTCAGCTTTTCAAATGATTTACTTGGCATACAGATTGAATAGGTATGGAGAAAGGCTACTGTCCTGACACACACCTTTCTTTATTTTAAGCTGTGTGGTATTCCCTTGTTCTATTTGGACTGAGTGCTTCTTGGTCTATGTATAGATTTCACATATGCACAAATAAGTGTTTTAGGATTCCCATTATTCTCAATACTTTCCAAAATTATTATGATCCACATAGTAGCTGCCTTTGCATAATTACTAAAACAAATATACATCTTTCTAGTATTATCTTCTTTTAACTTAGGTCCTTCTTACATCAGCAGTGATATCTCTTATTGCGCAGACTCTTCTAAATCCAGTTTGAATTTCTGGCAGTTCCCTGTTAATGGATTGGTTGAGCATTTTTGAATAACCTTCAGCAAGATTTTACTTGTATGCAATATTAATTAATATTATTGTATAATTTTCACACTTTTTGGATTATCTTGTACTGAAATGGGAGCAGATAATTAATTTCTTCTAGTTAGTTGATTAGGTAGCTGTCCTCAAAATTTGACATAGATTATTAAGCACATGGAGGGATGTATCTGTTTCTTGAAATACCTCAGTTGGTATTCCATTCGTTCCTTCTGTGCAGCTTGGAAATTTTCCCTCAACACCTTTGGTTCTTGTTCACATGCTGCTTTTTGCAATGGTTCAAGTGTTAATCAATTCTTTTTGGTGCAGTAACTATGCACCATCTTTTTTATTTAGTACTTCCTACATCGTTCGGTATTTTACCCATAGAATTTTTAAGTGCTGCAATTCAAGGCTTGAATTTGTTCTTCAGTTCTTTCAACTTGTGAAATGATAAACATATTATTTCCTTTTGGTTTTCTAATGCCAGCTCTTTTCTTCCCACATTTCATTGTAATACCTTGTTTTACCTTCTTGAGCTACCCTTTGAAATTTTCTGTTCATGTCTTCAGCATTGCTTCTTTTTGTTTTGACTCTTATGTGTGTTATGAATAATCATAGTTAAGTTCCAGTAGATTTTTGTAAAAAAAGCACATCTTTGATAGAAAAAGTCAAAGACAACTTTTTAAAATGTCGAATGTAGATTGAAATTGAGAATAAAACAAAGGTACATTTTTTTCTGCTTTCATAACCTGTGTGAATAGTTGGTATAAGTGTGCCATTTAAAAAAAGCCTTCAAATTCTACCCTTTTGTTTAATGCAAAGTCATAACTAGAGTACTGGTTTCCATGTCTGACTGTTCTGTATTTAAAGCTCTTGATATTCCATAAATGAATTGGCCTGTGAAAATATGTACCACATAAAAACCTCCTTGAAGTTTCTATGTCCTGAAATATATCTGACAGATATCTCTAAGAAGATGACAGTTAGCAGTTGACAAAAGTTGTTCCTTGTACTTTTAAACACCTTTACAGGGGATTTGACTTCTTTGTGTAAAGCTTTCTGTGTGAGTGGAATTTGTCAGGATGCATAATCCAATTGGATGTGAAATCATTAGGCCTGCAGGGGAAACCAGTCCTTGGGGAAGGACATCATGCCAGCACAGAAGAGAAAGACCCTGGATGAGATGGATTGACACTTTGACTGTGGCAATGGGTGATGGTGTGCCAGAGATAGTGAAGTTGGCAAAGAATGGGGCTAGGTTCAGAGTCATTGTTCAGTTGTAGTCGACTTGATGGCACATAACAACAACATGCAGCTTATAACAAGAAATAAAATAATCATTGTTGTTATATGCCTGGTTTATAATCTCTTTTTACAATATTTTTAAATATTTAAACATTTAAAGGTAGTTTGTTAGGTTCCTTGAGTATTATATGTGAGAGAAGGTATTTGGAAAATTTTAGGTTTAACTCTTTGCATTTAACTTTTTATTAAGTTTTGTGAACAAGAAAAGAAGGAAGGATTAGCCTTTTTGAATTAAACTGTATCAGTGCTGGGAAACAAATTATTAGAGAAAGCTATTATTTTAATCATAATAGAAAAAAAATGAAAGTGCCTGTAATTTCATTTTCATGGATCTACAGTTAATAGCCATGGTAGTATAGTCACACTCAAGAAATTAAAAGATGTTTTGGGGAAATCTACTGCCAAGGACCTCTCCAAAGTGCTAAAAAGCAATGCTATCAGTTTAAAGACTAAGGTATGCTGAATGTAAGCTATGGTATTTTCATTTGCTTTGTGTGCATGTGAAAGTTCGACAGTGAATCAGGATGACAGAAGAAAATGTCTTTGAATTTTGATGTTAGCAAAGAGTACTGAATATCCCATGGATTGTCAGAAAAACAAATCTGTCTTGAGGAAGTACAACGGTGCTCCTTAGAATCAAAGATGGTGAAACTTTGCCTCAGATACTTTAGGCATGTTGTCAGGAGGGCCAGGCCTTGCCAAAAGGTGCTTTGCTGGGAAAAGTAGAGGATCAGTGAAAGAGAGGAAGACCCTTAAAGAGATGAATTGGCAGAGTGACTGGAGCAATGGGATTGAGCATGTGGGTGATCATGAGCATTTTGGAGGGTAGGGTAAGGTTCATACCTGCTATTCATAGGGTTGCTGTGAGTTCTGGTGGACTTAATGGCATATAACAAAAGTGGTCTTAATTTAGTACTCTAGGTAACTGAATACGTAAGAATAGCCATACAGTGGAGCACTATGGAATTGTTAAAAAGAATGAAACAAAGAAGGTAGTAACTGAGGAGGGAAGGATACAGAGGCTTCAGAAGCACTCCTAGTATTTCAGTCCTTAGGCTGAGGGGTAGGTATGTGGTGCTCACCACTTGCTTCCTGTTTCAGTGTTCATACTCCATGTGTGTCAGGGTAAAACTGAACTCCACGTTTTTCAGTGACTGAATGCCAAGCCTTTACAATTTGATTTATAAACTTCTGATTATTCTGGTCATATACAAGCATCTTTTTGAGTTTTAAATTGACTTTTTCACTCCATTGTATATCTTGGGGGAAAACTCAGCACATATGAAACTTGAAAATGAATGCATTTCATTTGTGTGTATCCACGGATAAATCTCAAAAGTGTGTAATTGACTAGGACTCACCTTTTTTTCTTTTTTGACCTTTTGAGTTTTGGCCTTCAGCACATTATTTCTTCAGGAACTCTAGGGGTTAAGAAAATTTTTAATATTGCTGAAATCTAAATTATATGTTTTTCTTTGTGGATTTATTTTATATATGCAGGTTAAGTGGAATGCCATCATTTTGAATAAATGTAGACATGATTTGAAAATGTAAATAATATAATATTTATGTGATAATATACTATATTCGTGGGGAAAAATCTTTAAGTTTTTGTTATTTACTAATTGGTGATCTGTTGTGGTTTTTTTTGTTTTAAATTTTAGATTGCCCTCTTAGACTCCCCTACAGCTTTAAGTATGGAGGAAAAACTTCAGCAGAATGAAGCTAGAGTAAGTGATGTTTTTGGACCCATTATTTTTTTAAAATAATAACCTTTGTTATATATTGAATTATGTCCCTTTAGAATACCTGGTATCTCACCTCTATCCATCAAAGAATATAATCTCTTTTGGAAATAGGGTATCTTTGTTAGGTTGATGAGGCGATATTAGTGTAGGGTTTGCCTTTATGTCTCTTCTATAATATGAAAGAGCAGATTAAGCAAGAAAGCAAGTACAGAGGAGGGGAAATAGATAAAAGCCATTTGATTAAGGAATCTAAGGCTAGAAGCTGAGACGAGACAGATCCCTTCCTTAAGAGTAGAAAGACAGAAGAACATGGTCTTTCCCTAGAGGGCCGTAATTAAAACTTTCTGTCCTTCTAAACTGTGAGAAAATGAATTTGTTCAGTACAGCCACCCACTTGTGGCATTTCTTTTACAGCAATAGTAAATAACTAAAACAATTATTTTGAGTATATATTGTTTAGTGCTCTTAGTTGAGACTGGCATTCTTTAGTGATCTCCCTGCCCCTACCTTGGCTTTTTTTTGTTTGTTTGATTGTTTCTTCCATTGTATGTGTTGATTTTATGTATCAGATCACATTATACATGACTTAAGTGGGATTTGTGTGTGATAGAATGGCTGACTACAACTGCAGTCCATATACTTGTCCTGGCAAAGCAGGGAGACTAGGTTACCTGAGCAGACAGGTGTCCTGGGTCCATGTTGAACATGCCTTTAACTAGAGGGCTTCCTGTAGATTACCAGTCACTGTGGTGCACTTTGTGTCATCCTTTTATTACATTTCCCAGGAGAAGTGCAGCACTAGGAGGTCAGATGCTTAGATTCTCTTAAACTGAATGACAAGTGAAGCTGGGAGGGAGAGTGGCGTGATGAACCTGAGCAGAGCAGAGCTCTAGAGATGTGGGGACTAATGCCAGTGTTTGAGCATTGGTGATTTTTGAAAACTAGTGTTTTTTTTTTTAAAGGCCTCTGTGAAAAGAAAGGAGACATTAAGAACAATTTTTGGAGTTGATTTTGTTTACCATATTGAATAGTTAAAACAGTACAAGAATGCATTCACAATTTGTTCTGCTATCATTAGTAGCAGACCAGTTATAAGAAGTGGAAAGTCACCATTGTCCCATTTGTTTGATCTGCTGTATGACTCCATGATTTCTAATATCAGCTGTCCCTCCTTCATCCAGCTCCCCCACTCCTCTATGGTCCTTGGGTTCGCTGTCTTGTTGGAAGGGCTCACAGAGACTCCATCCGTGTCAGGGGAAGCTCTCACAAGTCTGTAGGGGATGCAGGCCAGTGTTGCAGAAGCTGGTGGGTGGTGCAGTTAACTGCTGTGTCCCAGTGTCCCAGGATAGTGGGTATCCCAAAAAGAGAGCTAGCATTGAGTTCCCATGAGCTATGTTACTAGAGTGGGGCTTGTATTCCATCCACCCTAATCCTATTTCCTTGCTACAATGAATAATACATAAGTACAAAATAAACAGTCAATGGCTAGGAAAGACGTTTTGAACAGTAAACTTTTTTTTACAGTTTTTTTTTCCTTGTTGTGTACAGAAGGAGATTGCCTCTCCTTCTCCAGCAGAGCATCTGATGGACTCAAACCATATCCCTTCAGGATTGAGGTGCAGCTTCTTGCCACTAGGGCACCAGAGCTTCCCCCCCCCTTTTTTTTTTCTTGTTGTGAACAATAAATTTTGACACCACAGAGGGGAAAAAAAAAATTCTGTTGGTAAAATCTCTTACAAATGTAAACTATTAAGGATAGAGTTAGGCTATAATTAGGAACTTGTTGACACTTCCTTCAATAATTACGCTGCTAATAGCGCTAATGAAATTAGTCTTTTAATCCTTATATTTCTCGTAAAATTTTGTATTTAGTGCTTGAAATTTTAATTTTGAGTGCTATTAAATATCTCAGTATAGTCTTAAATTGTTTTTAAATAGTTTTTGGACCACCTAGCAAGTTAATTGAAACTAATAAACATTTTAATTTGAACATATTATACATGCTGTGATAGAAATGAGTGCTTATCTTGTACTGAATATTTTCTAGTTTTATGTAATATATTGCAGACCCTTATTAGCTGCTTACCATCTACTTGACTATAAATCTCATTACCCTGATAGCCATTGTATCCCAACATTTATAATTTTTACTAATATTGTTATAAATGAAAGTGATTTGATTTAAATTCATTGTTGAAATAAATCCATAGCATATTTGTAATTTTTAGCAGTTAGAATTATTTGAGTTTGGAAGAGAGTGAGTGACTTAATTTATTCAGTGAGAACATGTCTATTGCTTAAAGGCAGAATCATTTCTTAAAGGTTTTCATATTTTCTAATAGACTGTCAGTGAGAATCTATATATTAACTCAGTAGCGTAAACTAATAAATTTAGCACACCAGTCTTTGCCCGTTCTGTGTGGGAAGATATCATAAGATTATTTCCCTCATGAGCTTAAGACCATAGTCGTGGGAGACATCAAGATCAATTGACTCAGCATAGTCTATGTAGACAATTTTCTTCATCCTCCTTTGGGGAATCTTCTCCAGCAGAGCATCTGGTGGATTTGAACCAGGCACCTCTGGGATTGCGGTGCAGCTTCTTGCCTGGGGAATCTTAAAAGCTTAGATGCATCTAAGGTACTTCTGTTGGCTTCTTTGTATCCAGAGAACAGCAGAGTGAGGAAACTCAGAAACTATTAGTCCAAAGCACTAGTGGATCATGTGAACATTAGCTTTTATGACCCTGAGGCCAGAACAATTAGATGATGCCAGCCTCTGCTGTTGCTGCTGTGTAAGAGATTACAATGGAAGATTCCTGAGAGGAAGAGGGAGTGTGGCCCAAGCCCACAATTATGAAAAAGATCAGGTGTGTTTGAGAAAGACTGATGGAACCCCCCAAGACTGTGTCCCTTAGTCATCCCTTTCATACCTACACCTAATCTCACACTTCCCAGCCAGAAAACAGACCCACCTTGCAGGACTGGCACAATCCTTGGGTCGATCAGCGGCACAGGATCAGAATGGCAGTATTTACTGAGGATAAAGGTCAGGAGGCAGGAAGAAATAGGAAAGAAGCATAAATAGAAACACTGAGAAAGTACAGAGAGTGTTGTTATAGTGAGGAGAGTCTAGTGAAATGGAAAAATCATTTGTCATGGAGCATGATATAGATGAATTGTTGAATAGAAGGTGAATTAGCTCTGTAAACTTCCACTCAAATAACAGTGAAATATGAAAACAACGCAACAAATGATTTCTTATTAGAGTTCTGTGAGGGTGATGAAATGAAGAACTGTGTGGTGCAGTGGCTGCATTCTTTCATATCATGAAATACAAACAGATTAAGTTGGAAAGTGTTTCAGTCTAATTTCTTTGGCTTTTCACCAAGGAAATAGTAGATTCTTTCAATATTTAGTAAAATCAGAATCATTATTTTAAAAAGTGAGATTTGAAATGGATGGATTTTCTTTCTCTGCCTTTTAAAAATTCTCAAAACCAGAAACCTGTTGGCGTTGAGTTCATTCTGACTCTCAGCCACCATATAGCACACCTGTGGGTGTCTGAGGCTTGAGCCTTTATGCGGACATCAGTGGTGGCACAGTGTTGTGCACTGGCTGCTAACTAGCCACTCTGCAGGAGAAGGAAATGGCAAGTTCAAACCCCATCCACTGCTATAGAGTTGATTCCAGTTCATAGTAGTACAAGTGCAAGTGCCTCATGGAGTATCTAAGATGGTAAACCTTTTTGTTTTAATTTTTATTTTATATTGATTTGCTTACAAAGGTCCTATGCATTGTGTTTCATTCAGTCATTCCCTAACGTAGCAAACCTTAGGGGTTTTGTAGTATATTTGTAAAAAAATAAATTGTATAAACATTAAAAAAAAAAAAAAAAAAGCAGGCCGCCTGCCTCTATCCCATGGAAATGCAGTGGGTTCGGACAATCAGCCTTTGATTCAGCAGACATGTGCTTTCACTTCTGCACCAGAGGTCTTCATAAAGATAGCTGCTTTGGAACACCTGAGGGCCATTCTAGTCTGTCCTGAGGGGTCACTGTGCTTTAGAGTTGTTGCTATGTCATGGGCTCTGGTAGAGGTAAGGAACAGACCTTTCAGTTAGCAGCCTTCAGTGTGACCACTGCGTCGCCAGGACTTCTCCTTTTCTCTTCAAATAGAATACCACCATCAAGTTGATTCCATCTCACCGCAACTCTTCACATTTCCAAAAGCTCAAAATTCAAATTCACTGTCATCTTGTTACTGTACGCTCACAGCAATGCTCTATCAGATTTAAGGTTCTATGAGTTGTAACAGCAGGAATCTGTCCCTTTTCCTCCCACAGAGCTATTGGTGGATTTGAACTGCCCCAAATTAAAACAATTAGCAGAGGAGTTCACTACAGATGTTTACAGGGGGAGATTGGGATTGACTGGTGAATTCAAACGTCTGGCCTTTTTAGTTAGCAGTCTGACTTAATACCCACTATCTTTTTTCAGCTTTCTTCTCTTTTAAACTTTCTTAGCTCTCTTTGCTTCTTTCTTAATTAATTACTTATGATGTGGCTTTGAATTGGTGCTCACTGACAGCGACCCGGAGAGCTCTTGTGATCTGGTAGGGAGGGTATTGCACTGCCAAACTAAAGGTGGGTAGTTTGACTTAACCAGCTGCTTTGCAGGAGAAAGATGGACAGTTTCATCTTGGGAGATTTACAGGCTCTGGAGGCCAGCTGGAGAGTCAGCTATGACTTGGTTCCAACTGGACACAGTGAGTTGAATTGAGATAGTCACCTTGTGTGACAGCAGATGCCTTCAGGGTTTCTTGGGCTGCAACCTTTATGGGATCACATCACTAGGCCTTATGTTCTCTGTAAAACTGCCTACATAGGCTTCAATCCAGTGTTTAACCATTATGCTACTGGGGTGGATCATTGAAAAAGTTTTAAGAAACTATCCAAACAGTTCTGCTATCTTTGAGAAACAATTTTCAGTTGTTCTGTGATCCAGAATTGGGAACACTTTTACTCCCAGGTTACAGCTGACTGGAAAGAAAATTGTTTTGTAAAAAATTTTGCTTTTATTACAACATTGAATTACAGAACCACCTTATTAAAAATGAGTGAGATTTGTAAATTTTATTGGTTAGTTACAAATGTTAATTATCTCTTAAAACAAAGCTGTACCACCTAAGGTGATTTAACCAGCACAGTGTCTAAGTACAAAGAAAGAGAAATGAGGGTTTCTTTGAACCTATAGTTAAGGAGCTCTGGTAGCATCGTTCATAGTGTGTTTATATTATGTTTACATTCCTGAGATTCAAATCTCCCAGCATCTCTGAGGAGAAAGATGGACAGTCTTCTCCCATTAGGATTTAGTCTCAAAAATGTAGTGGAGAGTGGCTGTGAGCTGCATCAGCTCACCTGAGGGTGACTGTGAGCTGGCAATAGCTTCTGAGGGTTCCAGTGAGCTGGTATCCGTGCTTCTGAGGGTGGCTGTGAGCTGGCATCAGCTCACCCGAGGTGGCTGTGAGTTGGCATCAGCTCACCTGAGGTGGCTGTGAGTTGGCATCAGCTCACCTGAGGTGGCTGTGAGCTGGCATCAGCTCACCTGTGGGTGACTGTGAGCTGCCAATAGCTTATGAGGGTTCCAGTGAGCTGGTATGAGCACATCTGAGGGTGGCTGTGAGTTGGCATCAGCTCACCTGGGGTGACTGTGAGCTGGCATAAACTCACCATAAGGGTGACTGTGAGCTGGCATCAGTTCATCTGAGGGTGGCTGTGAGCTGGCATCAGCTCACTGGCAGTGAGTTTGGTGGTTATTTTGCTTTGTTTGTTTATGGTATAGTTAGAGGCCTGGTGCTACAGTATGTATTGAGTGACTAACTGAAAGGCCAGCAGTTTGAACCTAACAGCTGCTCTGAGAGGGAAAGATAAGGTATTCTCTTCCTGTAAATGTGATAGCCTTTGGACCCCAGAGCAGAATTGTTATGAGTCAGAATCCACTCAGTGACATTGGATTTTTTTTGGTTTGTAGTATAGTGAGGAAGATGAGTTTCTTTTTTAAAAGATTGTGATTTTAGTGAAAATTTACAGAAAGGTTAGGTTTTCATTATTGACTGATACACATTTTATACATTCCCTCCTCCTTTATATTTCCCCCTGTTCACTTTATCATGCACTACTTGTTCCAGAGTGTTAATTCACACCATATGATGTCTAATCATCTATTCCTCTCTATAGTCCTTCCCTTCCCCTTCACTAGTGTAGTGTTTGTTATCTACCCATTCTTTTCCTGTTCTCCTCCCACACCTCACCTCAGTTCGTCCTATTTCTATAATAGCGATCTTATGCAGTATTTGTTCTTTTGTGACTGAGATATTTCACTCAGTATAATTTCTTCCTGACTTCATGTTTTGCAAGTTCTTTGTTCTTCAGTGCTGTGTAATATTCCATTGTGTGATACAGGTATGTGCATTGTTCATAGTAGTGAAAAGAGGAAAACAGCCCAAGTGCATGTCAACAAATGAATGGATAGACTAATTAATTTAATGGCTGTTGTTATCCTTGAACTTGTAATTTTGATTGATAGTTATGCTGGCATAAACCACTGGGAGCTAACCCAAAGGACCTAACTCTCTACAGTTTTCAATCTGTCAGGCACTTCAAGAGAGACAAGTGCACCCCTGGGTGATTTACAGCCTGAGAAACCTGGTTCAGGGCCTGCTATGAGTCAGTTCTAACTTGATGGCAGTGAGTTTGAATTTTGACCAAGGAAAAAAGCTTTTACTTAAATAGACCCCAAAACTCATTATTGTTGAGGCAAGACTCAACCCTCTGTAGCATTTCCAAGGCTGTAAATATTTAGAAGGGGAGACTGTCTCTTTTTCAGGCGGCAGCTGGTAGATTCAAACTGCTGACCTTTCAATTTGTAAGCATACTTTCTAATACACTACTCCTTTACTTACCTGCACTGTGAAAATGATGTCTAAGACCCTCGGCAACTTGACAATTTTGTATCTTGTTCCTTTGTGTGATCTGCTATAAAATACAGAGTGAGGATAACTTGTCTTGCTGTGTATTTGGTAATGATTCTTTCAAGTCTACTAAAAAGAAATAGAGAACATTCTTCCATAAGGTATAAGGGTTTGCAAATTTATTAGAAAAAAGATATAATTTTTATGGAGCAATCATATGTACATATTTTTCCTTTTAGGTTCAAGAGTTGACCAAGGAATGGACAAATAAATGGAATGAAACCCAAAATATCTTGAAAGTAAGAACTATAAAAGGTTTCTTTTTCTCCTCTGATGGTTTAAATAAGTAAATCATTTTTTCCATCTGTTCAAACATGGCTATTGTATTCTTTGCTTAAGGTAAGACTATTGGAGCTGGTTGGTGACTTTGGTAATGGGATGTGGTAGGGCTTTTAGTATGAGTATGAATGAAAGAGAATAGGAGCTCTTAGATTATTACTGTGTCTATTGTAGCACAAAAAGGTCATGTTGATCTTGGACATATTTGCTTTCAATTGTTGGAGTTTCATCATTTTTGACTCAGCAGATATTAAAACTCCAATACTAGTATGCCTTTCTGCTTCTGTTAAATACAGAATAAAAGCTATACAATAAGTAAAGACAAGAGTTCCATGTATTACTTTTCAAGGTTTCCTTGCATAGCATGGCTAATTTTTGAGAATTTCCAAATTAGAATTTTCTTTTAGAAGTTTCTCTTTGTGTCTTGAGGGTGACACAGTGATTGCATCTCTTTCAGCTTCATTGTGAAAGGTAGTCAGTCATGTTGTTTGTTGTTGTTATGTGCCGTCGAGTCATTTACGACTCATAGCGACCCTATGTACAACAGCCCTAAACCGTGCTCTATCCTGTGCCAGTCTCATTGCTTCTGACAAACCCATCCTGAGTACCCCAGTCACTGAATCAATCCACCTCGTAGAGGGTCTTCCCCTCCTGCGCTGTCCCTCCACTCTACCCAGCATGGTGTCCCTCTCTAAAGTCCTGTCTCTCCTTACAACATGTCCAAAGTATGTCAGACA